CCGCCCGCCGCCGGTGCCGCCGCGCCTACCGGTGTTGTAGACGTGCAGCTCGTCCGCGATGCCCTCGTTGCCGCCCCCGAAGATGATCATCAGCTCCCGGATAGCCACGGCGCGGTGTCCGTGCCGGGCGCGGGGCACCGGCCCGGTGGAGGAGGAAACCCGCCTCCAGTGGAGGAGGCTGGGAGCCGCCATCTTCCCAACCCCCGCCCCTCTGCCCACAATGCCCCGCGCGCCCCGGGGGAGGGCGGGGCCGCGGGGCGCGGGAGGGCGTCACGTGACGGCGGCCGCGCGAAGCCCCGCCCATACCCCGGGGTGACGTGGCTGTGGGGCTCCCGGGGTGCGGGACGCTGGCGGGGATCCGGTCCGCGGCCCTCGCGGCGCCGCCCGCTGGGGGTTTCGGGGCGAAGGTACGGAGGGACCCTGTCCGTCCACTCTAACTGAGCATCCTACCTGGGCATCTTACCGAGGTCGGCCCCGGCGAAGGTCGCCGCACCCGGGGCGTTGGACCTCTGTGCCGCGGGTACCAGGAATCACGGAGTCAGGGAGCCCCGGAAACCACGGTCGCTGGCACCAGTCCACGGGAAGACCGCACCCACGTGGGCAAAGGCTGAGATTTTTATATTTGATTTTCAATAAGGAGGGGGTCAGAGGCCGGGCGTGGTGGCGCACACCTGTAATCCTAGCACTCCCGAGGCTGAGGCAGGAGGATCGTTGCGAGTTCTAGACCAGCCTAGGCTGCAAAGTGAGTTCAAGGCCAGCCTAAACTGCATAGTGAGACCCTGTCTCAAAAAGACGCACACACACACACACACACGCACACACACACACACAAAGAGAGGGTCAGGAAATGTCACCCAGGAATGCTGTCATCAGGCCATGGGGATTTTGCTGACAGCCTGTCAGGTGTTTGATGACTGACACTATGTTTTTGTTCCACAGTGGGGTCCAGTGACCTTGGCATGGCTACAAACAGTTCTTCCGGATAAATTTAATTAACAGTTATGCAAAGATCGATGTTATCAGTCGGAGCATCAGAATACAATGTAGAGGTCTGTAGTTGGAAGAGACTTTGGCAGTGTTTTGAGACAGAGGAAGAGGTGGTGGTCTTGAAGTCCCAGCAAGTGGGTTGATCGCGTACCGAGGAGGTGAGCGGTGCTTACAAGGTGGAGAGTCAGGGTTATGGCGCAGGCACGTCACTCCACTGCGGTGTGGCCTCACCACCAGGAGTAAATTCACCCCGATGAAGAAACCAGGGTAAATTCACCCCGATGGACCACTCTCTGGTAGCGGTCGGCGGTGCTGGGAGGCCCTGCAGGCTCGAGGATGCCCCGAAGTGCGGGAGGGAAGGTCACTTCCAAGTCCACTTTGCAGGCGGCGCAGCGGATGCAGACCCCCTCTGCAGGCCGTGTGGAGAAGCTCAGGAAGGGTGAGCCACAAAAGGTGTTCGGGGTTTGTGTGGAAAGCAGGTGAGATGCAATGTGTGGGTTCCTTTTTAGCACTCGCTGCCCGCCAAGGGCTCCCATGGCCGGGCGCTGTCCTAGTTCCTTCACTGTATTCGCTCATACTCTTTCCAACAGTCCAGTCAGTGGTTGCGGAGAAGGACATTCTTTGGTTAATCTTTCAGTGAATTACCTCAGGCCTGACCAAACCATGTGATTGCTTGGCTCCAGAGGAAGTCTAGCAAAAGCATTGGTGTAAAAGAAATGATTGCAGGACCTGTGTCCCTGTGAAAGCCGCGGGGTCAACACTAGATGCTTTGCTGAGATATGCCCAAAGGAATGATAACAGGATGGCTAACTAAGTCAAGTCTCATTCCTGTGATAATTGAGTTGTGTTGTTCTTGCTAAACCTGGTGATATCCTCCCATTTGCCCTGCTGCTTCCTTTGTTCTTTGGCAATAAAAGGTTACTGAAAATGGTAGTCCAGGCTTCAATCCAAGAGGCTGCAGCCCTCTGATCCCATAACTGTCTCTCCCTTGCTTTTCTTTTCACCTTCGTGCACCTCGTTCTCGGGACCTGTCACCCTAGACAGAAACGGAATACAGACCAACAAGTGGTTACTGTCATCTGTTCATAAACGGGTAATGAGGCACAGGGCAGCAAAGAAGTTCCCTCTGGCCAGTGTGGTGGTGTGCACCTGTAATCGCAGCACTTGGGAGGATGGGTAGAAGGGTTGCATTGAGTTCGAGGCCAGCCTGGACTCCACAGTGATATCAAGGCCACCCTGATTTACATATGGAGACCCTGTCTTGAAAATGCCCCCCTAAAATCATTTTGAAATTTCTTTTAGACCTTCCTAAACTGAATTAAGGATCACAATAATGTTCTGCAGTGGCATCAACATAAAGCCCAAGATACTATTTAGCTTCTGTTTAGTTTCAATTCTCAACATGTATGTTCTCGTTTGTGCTGTTTATTCTTAAATATGCTGTAGTTGTAAAGTTATTAAAAATAAAGAATAAGTGGTTCTTGCTACAAAAGACACACAAAGGGGTAAAATGTGAGATGAGGCATATGTTTGTTTCACTACCATAATTATCAAAATATATCCCATAATGTCATGTTGCATACTGTCTTGATTACTTTCTCATTGCTAGGCCAAAATACCAAACACCCACAAGTTAGAGGTTTATTTTAGTTCACAGTCTGTAGAAGTTTCTGTCCATAGTCAACTGGCTCCAAAGCAGGGCAGAGGGGCATTGCAGAGGAGAAACAGCTCATGGAATGGTGGCAGGAAGCAGAGAGGGATCAAGGGAGGAGGAGGGACACAGAACCTCCAGGCCATGCCCATAGAGCCAGGCTTCACCTCCCAACACAACACCCAGCTATAAACCCATCAGTGAGCTAATCCAGTGTCACACACCCATGATCCAGTCACCTCTCCAAGTTCCCATGAGGTTTCCGGGGGACATCTAGATATAAGCCATCACACATGCCTTGACTATAAACAATAAAATGTATCTTAAAAAATGAAAAGTGTGGCAGGGAAGCAAGAACCCACCTGAAACAATTTAAATCTCTACCTCAAATTCCAAAGAAGTCACTGGAAGGACTGTACACACTGTACACAGGCTGGTGGTGCAGCTCAGTGGTTAGAGCACTTCCTTAGCCTGCCCTAGGGCCCTTAGAGGCCCTAGGTCCCATCCACAGAAAAAAAAAAACCCACAATGCACAGCCAATTTCCCAACATTCCTTTTCCCTCATCTATTATTTTCAGTTTCTCCGATATGCCTCACTCATACCCTCCCACCCTAAGCGTGCTCTCTACATAAGGTTTCTTTTGAGAGATCATTCTTTACCTTTTCAAAAAGAAATTCTAGCCGAGTGGGGTGGCACGTGCCTGTAATCTCACCACTTGGGGCAGAGGCAAGAGTATTGCTGCAAGTTCAAGGCTAGCCTGGGCTACATAGGAAGACTGTCTTGCCGGGTGTGGTGGCGCACGCCTGTAATCCCAGCACTCAGGAGGCTGAGGCAGGAGGATCATTGTGAGTTCAAGACCAACCTGGGCTACAAAGTGAGCTCAAGGCCAGCCTGAACTGCATAGTGAGACCCTATCTCAAAAAGACCCCCCCCCCCAAAAAAGGAAGACTATCTCAAAAAAAGAAACTTACTAATTTTTTAGCATCTACCTCTCAGATTCTCATATTGTCTTTCTCTCTCTCCAGGGACTGAGCTATACACACACACACACACACACACACACACACATACACACACCCTGTGCTTCCTAAATTCTCCCCTTCACTGGTTATTAGCCCATTTATTATATGCCCAAAAAGAATTTGGAAAGATGTATGGGAATAAAGAAAAGAGGCCATGGATATTTATGGGTTAATGTTTGTCACATCCATAAAACATGGGCTCTTAAGTGTTTCTGTTACTAGGTTTGTATGGATCTAAGACAAAACTAGAAAGACTGGAATAAAGCAGTCAAGTTTAAAGAACTATACTTTATTCTGAGATATTAGTGCTTAGATGATAGCTTTTTCCCCTAATGCCCTTACAGTAAACAACCAAGGGAAAATTTAAAACTTGCAAGCCTAACGTTGATCTTCACATTTAAAAAATGTTTACTGATATTTAAAAGTCTGAGAAACCCTGGATGAGGGGAAAGATGAAGGCAAAATATTCTGAAGACAAAGTGGACTGCAGGTTTGAGAACAGCAGAGACGATGTGCCTGGTTGCGTGGGCCCGCTGAGTTAGGGTGTCAGGAGGGATCAGCTTAGGGATGGGCAAGCTGGGGCTAGGCTGTGGCTCAGTGGTAGAGTGCTTCCCTGAATGCATAAGGCCTTGGGTCTGATCCCTGGGACTGCCAAAAAATAGCACCAGAAAGGTATTACCTCTCGGTTTTGGAGGAGAGAAGTCTAAAGCCAAGGTGTCGCAGAGCAGTGCTCCCTGGGAAACCTATAGGACAGAAGAATTTTTTTCTCTCCTCTTTCCGGCTCCTGGGAGGCTGTTGAGCCTTGGTGTTTCCCAGCGTGTGAATGCATAGCTGTCGTGTGTCTCTGCTGCTCTTAAGAGTTTGCTGGTTACATGGGACAAGGTCCCATTCCAGGACCTCATCTTAACTGGCTTCCTTCTGCAAAGACCCTGCGTCCAAACAAGGGTTCACTTGTATGGCGGCTGAGACTCCAGCGGATCTCTCAGGCACAACAGTTCAGTCTGTTATGGTGACTCATGCCGTCAAAAAGATGCTTCACCACAGTGACTTTCACTCCTCTCTCCTGCTCTCCAAAAACCTGCCTTTCATCTTGAAAACGCAGGAGTGGAAGCAGTCATGTAGGGCAGAGTGTGGAAAGGGACAGGAGGGGACAGGAAGGAGGGAGAGTAGTGGCCTGAAGAAGTCAGGAGAGGCCGGGTGGCATGTCCATCTTCTGGGACTCACACAGCACCAAAGAGACGAGGACAAGAGGGGCTCAGGAAGGGTGAGTAGCTGGCTGGAAAGTGAGTAGCTGGCATCAGAGGGGCTGGGGCAGGTGAGACAAGCCACTGGCAGAGGAGGGCCCAGAGCCAGAAGTGCTTGTTGAGACCACAAGCCAAGGAGACCAGGTGAACAGAGGACAGAGGGGAAACACCTTTAAATGCCTTAGATCTGTGTGGAGAAGGACATTCTTTAGTTACTCTTTCTTTTTTTTTTTTTTTTTTCAGTACTGGGAATCAAACTCATGACCTTGTGCTTGCCAGGCAGCCACTGTGCCACTGAGCTAAATCCCTAGCCTCCTAGTTACT